GTATTTAAATAAGATGGAAAAAATACACAACAGCAACAGGACAAGCACAGTCTTTATTAACCATGTAATAGCTTTATAGCCACTGGTAATGTGAATAGACTGATTTGCTGATTAAATTCTGAACTTTTTTTTCATAAAATTAAATTAAGTTTCATTTATTTTATTTCTTAGGACCTAGTTTGGATCTCATTACTTAGTGACAAATTTTCATTTTATAGAAATGAAAAGTGATACAAAAAATTCTATATCAAAACCAAATACTGGTGAGGATAGAGGTTGATAAAAACTCCAGTGTTGTTCTTTGTTCTTTACATGCTGATGCTTTACTTTCAAATTATATCAGAAAAAAAATACCCTATATCACAACTAAAATAGGCTTGATGCCTCATAAGACACTACTGCAAAGTTTCCAGTAACATAATTACAACTGCACATGGACGAACACCCACCAAAGACATTTCCTAAGCAGACTTTGCATTTACTGGCAGAAATATGACCCATTTATGAGCTACTAGAACAAACATCTAAATAAATGAAATATGCATGTAGAGTCAGTATCTGCATGCAAAAAACCAAACCAAACCAAAAAAACAACAAAAAAACCACAAACAAACCAAAAACAACAACAACAAAAACCCACCAAAAACAAGCATATACTTAATTTCCAAAACCGGGTCTTAAAGTGTTGCCAAAATTGGAAGCACCAAGATGAAGCTAGGCTGTAAAATACTCAAGATCAAATTTAGCCTGTTAATCAGTTCCCTCAGTCCAGTCTCAGCAAGCAGAGGAGCAGTTCCACACGTCTGACCTTGCTAAAACTCTCTAAAACAAGGACCTAGCAAGATCAGGCCAATTCTCTCCCTATATCAAATCATGCAATAATTTTCACACAGTGTCCCTGTTCTTGTAACAAGTGAGAGCTATCACTGCCTCCAGAGAGGCTAATATGAAGCCAGCTGAGTGTCCTCTGTCCAGATATTCCCATGTCCAAGTGTGATTAGCACTACCTTGTCAAATTTAGCTCTAAGCCATTTGTGAACACCTTCTTTGTTTATAGTAGCACACTCAAATCTGCACAGGCCTCTGTGTTTGCTCTTCCGTGTTTCCTATTAACAGTGCATTACATTTCAAGATGTCATACTGCAGAAAGCTACAAAAGGACTTTTAATCAATTTAAACCAAACCACGTGAATTATTTTCATTCTGACTAAATACTGTTTGGTACACAACCTGAGAAAACAAAACTGGGGTTTTAGTTCTACTGCTGCAAATCCAGAGTGACTGTTTTAGTTCTATTGCTGTACAGCCAGTGTGACTGTACAAGAATTATTTGTGCAGCATTTGAAATTGCAGTTATACCAAATTCCGTATTAAAATCAAACTGTGGCTAAACAGAATTGAACCTTGTAAACTGCCAGCTATGACCAGCTTGGAAATCAGTATCAGGAAATTAAAAAAAAATCTGTGATCTTGAGAAGCTGAGAACAGATGAAACGCCTAGATTTTTTATCATTGCATGAGAGAGTAAATAAAATTATATTAATATCATATTTCAGTTTTCATTCCACTATATTTACAGCACAGTGCATTAGACCTGACTCCCAGCCTTGCCTTGCTGAAGGCAGTCTAGTTCCACACCACAACCAAGAACAACCTTCAGCTTGAGAGCTGAAACACAAAAAAGCAGGAACTAAGGCACAGAAAGGAGAGTATCATTTTAACGAGATGAATCAAGAATGCATGAGGGGACTGTCTGTATCAGACTTCTTGTTGAATTCAGAACTATGCTCCCACTACTATATACATATTTTGTGTATGCAGCTCCTGCCCATGGAGGTTTTAGACAATCAAACCGTGGCTGGGATAGTAACTTATGACTGAGCTGTTACTCTTGCTCTGTGCACAAATTGAAGAAAAGCCAGACATTACAATCTTCTAGCCTTGATTTAACAATTTCTAGCCGATATTCAATGTCAGTGGGAAGATGGCAAAATGTTTTGGGGGTGATTTTTTTGTTTGCCTTTTTTTTTGTTATGGTATCAATGATAACAAGTTGCTCTTGCAAAGACAGACATTCGTATTTCTCTCAATAAACAGGACTGCATTACTAAACTGTAAAGCCAAGAAGAGGCATACAGTGTGAAAATATGCAGGGGAACAACAGCTGTTAGTCATTATTTTCTCCTTATCCTTTCAACACCTCTGTTTCAGTTTGCTCTCTAATGGGTAAATCACACTTTCTCCCTAGGACATTTTCTCATTTTGGGCAGGTACTAAAAAGAATCCTAAGACAATTAAGAGTCATTGGCCAAAGACACCCCTTGTTTTGTTACTTTTACTGTAGACACTGAAACTCATTTTTATGCTTTATCAAACAGATAAAGCTGATGTTTTCTTAGCCCTTTGTCACCTCTAATATGATGGTGGACTTTCCTGCTTTTCTTCTTAAAGATGATCCTAGCTTCTATTATTATTATTTTTTTACACACACTGTTTTATATTTCTCAAAAGAGAAATACCAACTACAAAAATTATTGCTCTCACTTCATTTAGGCAAAAGAAGACTCTACCATCAGACAGCCTTTAAACATCTGTTTTACACTTCACCTCATCTGTCAAGGCTTCACAGTAGCCATGTGGAAACAGGGAAAAATAGATATACTTTTGCTTATGATCAAAATCAACTTACTGCACAAACCACTTTGTTCTATTCTCTACTTCTTAACTGTAAGATTAATATTTACTGGGAGTTTGATCCTTTTGTTCACTCTGATTTTTATTTATATGACTCTAGGCCACAGTGAAAATGAGGTGGGAAAAAAATGCAAGCAGGTACAAATATCACAGTATAGCAAAATTACTTTGGAAATCTTATTTTTTAAAACATTTGGGTTAACTCTATTGTCCTACTAAGTTGGGCTTTTCACTGTGAAATACATTTTCCTTTAATAACTCTTAAAGGAGTAATAATCATCATTTTTTCCAAGTGGTCAAATGGCAGAAACCTCTGAGAAGACAGGATACACCCACTGGTGAAGCTGAAATGTATCACAGCATGCACAAGCTCAAACGTATGCACTCTTCCATCTATTTCTCTTTCAAAAGGTTGCTTTTCTCCAAAAAGGCAATTCAGTCTACATTAAAGATCTGAAAAAACCCCACCCTGTTAATCCAATGTTATTAATCTGATCACATTTCCCACATGGCTTCTCATATATAATGTTTTTTACAGCTGCTGATATTACTCAGGGCAAGATGCTGTGGAGGAGGCACAAGTGACCTTCCACCTGCAGCTGTTCCTGGGCAGTGCCAAGGTAGACACAGTCCTCATGGCTGTGCTCCAAAAGGCACAATCTTATTGCAAAGGGCACATACAGTGCCTGGGTCTTGCTGGTGCTTCAGTCATGTGAGTCCTGAATGGGGCAATAAATTACCTGGGTTTGAAGCCCTCCTTCAGAACCCAGGGCAGCTCCATCCTACCAACCCTCCCAGCACTGACATGATGACTGGTCACTGGCTCTTACAACATGAGGGCTCTGTTGCTTCTGTCACCCTCGCATGCATCAGTGATTGCAATTCCCGAAAGAAAAGGAAAAACACACAGGAAATGGAAATAAACTCCCTTGGTACCGAGTTACATGGAAATGGTGCGAGTTTGGCATAAAACCTGGTTCATGTAGCAACAACGTATGATGCTGGGAGCAGGATGAGGAATCAGGACCGCCGGAAGAATAATAAAAGTCTGCACGTTTCCTCGGTAAAAACGCCCTATTAAAAAATAAAATTAAATAAAATTAAATAAGTCACTAGGCTAAGAAAGTGATGCCATCTTAGAGGGAGTAAGACACGGAGCGTGACAGCCACGTTACGAAATAAAGACCCCCTGGAAGAAACGTCACTTTCTCCAGCATCCCAGCACGAAATTGCTTTGTCTGTGCCCGCGGGAGCCTGGGGAAGCGCTGCCCAAACCCTCCCCGTGCCCGCAGCACCCGCAGCTCTCCCTCCA